TGGTGGCGGCGGCGGCGGAAGCTCTTGGAGAGGCAAGGATGACGATTCGTCGTCCGCTCGTCGTGGAGGCGGTTCAAGCCAGAGTCGCGGAATCGGTGGCAGCTCCGACTGGAGGAACAAACGTGACGACAGTCGTAAAGACGACAGCAGACGTACGAACGATCGTCGCGGCGAGGAACAGCGTGGCGGCGAGGACCGCAGAGGTGGAGGTGCCCCGATCTCACGATCCGAGAAACGTGCGTAACATTAAATTTATTATATTTCTTCATAATAACAGTAATTAAATTTGCAGCGCGAGAGGCTCAGACCGAAGATGATGGTTGGTCGCATGTCAAACGTCGCTGATGGTGGATGATGATGATGGTAACGAGAGCAGTGACGGCATAAGATCGATTGGTGTATTAAGAAGGAGAAGAAGAAGAAAAGGAGGAGTTTGGAAGAAGCCGTTTCTTAAAAAGTTTCTTTCTTTTGTATAACTAATTATTATTTCATTTATATACATATGTGTATGTATATATGTATACATACATACGTAATAACGAAAAGACCAATCAATCTCGATTCTTAAAACCAAAATCACCATCCCGCTCCATCCTCCTTCTCTCCCTACTCCCTACAGTATCCGCATCTACAATAATCAATTTGAAATGAAGAAGAGAGAGAGAGAGAAAAGATTTTTTTATAAATGATGTTAGTCGAAATAAGAAGAAGCAAAGTAGTAAACTAACTACTACGTGTCGAGTGAGTTCCATTTACTATATTGATTTTCTATTTTTATTGCCATTTCATTTATATGCACGTCTTTCTGTTTACACCCCCCCCCAGCCTCCTTTTTAGTTTTAAAACAATAACAACAACAACTAATGCTTTATTTTTATATTGACACTAATGTCTAGCAGCAGCAGCAGTAGTAGTAGCAGATATGTTTATTATATCTAGAGAGAGAGATATGAACATAATACAACTAACTGCATGCAAGAATGGACGGGACGATTGGTACAAGGTGTATGCGAGTGTGTGTGTATATAATCGTTCGTATTATTTTATAATTGCATTAAAGAATGAATATACACCACACGACACAACCAACTTCTCTGCTACTTCTGCAAAAACATCGCTTAAACAGTGCAAATATGTAAAATCCGAAAAAAAAAGAAACGTTTTATTATACATTTTTAACAACAATATTAGTATATAATATAGATAGAATATATATATATATGTAGGTATACGTTAAAACATAGTATTATGGATGGATTATCTCAAATATAGTGTAAAAAATACGATGATGAGCAGAGCGAATAACAGGAAAGTGTAGCCTATGAGAAGTCGAACGTTTTTCTTGTGTTCCTTCTTCGTGGTCAGCCGATTGTTTCTAGCGGCCGTTGTTTTCGTCTTTCTCGGCATCATCTCCAGAAGCAGAGGTTCCAGCACGAGCAGACCGCTTCCGAACGCCTCCGATTCCTTCCTCCTTTCCAACTCATCTGCATCATCGTCCTCCTTCTGCTGCTGCTGCTGTAGTCTGCAGTTCTCGACGATGCCGCCGTTCTCCTCCTCCACCGGCGATATCTCGTCTAAATCTAAATATTGCTGCTGCATCCTATACTTTTTAATCTTAACATTATTACCGTTAGTTTTGATTGTGTTGCTGCTGCTGCTGATGCGATCGTGATGGACGACTCGATTCACGAGCTCCGAATAAGGTTTCGTGACGACGCCGAATTGGCCACGAATAATACTTTTTGAATATTGATCGTTGGTGCTTCTTGCATTTGTACTCTTTAGAAAGGCGTAATAATTATTGTAACAGTGTAAATCATCATTGTAGTTGTAGTAAAAAATGGGCGGTGCTGCTGCTGTTGTTGCAGTTGTTGGTGGTGGTGATGGTGATTGCACGTATTTGCTGGTGCTATTATTTACAGGCGACCAATTCTCGCAAAGTCAGTTGAGATTTATCGGCGACTTGGACTCGATCCGCTGGACGTCGTAGAGCACCTCCATTATGCTCGCCATGCTCCAGGCCTGCGTGGCAGAGCTGTCCTTGCAGAAGGCCCCGTTCGAGTTCGTGAGCTCGGGAAGGCCACGCCACGGCGACGTCTGCAGCTCGACCAGATGACGCGAGAGTATCTCCTTGGTGTGCGCGACGGTCGGACGCAGGAAGCCGAGCTTCGCGGCGAAGATCAGCCGAGCCCTCAGAAAGTAACCGACAGGCCAAACCCATTCCGGACCCTGGTGATAGTTGTAGCCCTGCGACTCGTCCGAATTGTCGTAATCCCCGACGTAATTCCAATCGCTCGCGTCCAGCGTCTTCATGCCCAATGGTCCGAGCAGATGCTCCTCGGCAGTCCTGAGCGCCGCCCAAGCGTGCTGCGGATCGAACAGCTCCGGCGCCGCGACCATCGCGATCGGATAATTGCAGCGAAGCTGGTAATCGCTCCACGTCTGCGTCGCCCCGAAGCAGTCCTTGTACATGTTTCGCTTGTTGATCAGTCGACGATTGTCTTCAGTCTCCTCCTCCTCCGTCTTCGGACCTATCCAAAAGGATTTCTCGAAATGTCCGGCTATTCTGTCCGCCCATTCCTGCCAACTCCACCTGATGATTAGTTTTCCGTCCGGCTTGTGCCTTCGCTGCACACCCTCGTACTTGTACATGCCCTGCTTGTGCATCGTGTGCAGCCATGCGACGACCGCCATACTCAGACCGACCAATTCGACGGCGGATCCGTCCCTGGGCGTCGCCGGTTTCCCGCGGTTCCCCGTCCTCTCCGACGAGCCCATCTTGTCCATCCACGTGCCGCAGTTCGCATCGTTTCCGCCAAAGACGAAACCGGTCTCCGGATGCACGCCGATCTGATTGTTGAAGCCCCTATCGGACATGTGCTCGTCTATGGTTCGTCCAGCGTTGCGCTCCCTGAACGCCAGCCCCTGGAAGTGCACGTTCAACGCCTCCTGCATCACGTCGCCGAGCGTCATCGACTTACGGACGTCCTGTCCTTCCTCTTCCTCTTCTTCCGTCGCAGGGAACAGACGCACAACATTTTCACCGAATATGTCCGCTGCTGCGTCGCATTCTTGCACGTAGCTGCGGATGCAGTAGAGCCACCACCAAACGGCATCGCGGCAGTTGTACCTCGCGTTCACGCCACCGCCCACCGTCGCAGCATCCAGCAGGTTCGGAATGAGACCGTGCCGGAGGCAGGCGGCGTACGCGAGGATATGCTGTCGAGCCTCCTGTCGTCTGCCCGTCAGTATGAGGAGACCACGAATCGAGATGAACGTGTCCCTGCCCCAGTTCCTCATGTAGCCGACGGCGAAGTGCGGCAATCCTGCTGACAGACTCGTCATCGCCTTACATCTTGCATCCTGTTCGGATGATGAGGGTGGCGGCGACGGCATCGGTAGCGGTGCCGATTTGATGCACGCAACCATCTGGACGGAGCCGAGCGCGAGTGCTCGCACAAACGACGAACCGTTCCTCACGAAATCGCACGACATCAGCTGGTCGAAGCAATTCTCCAGCAAAGCAGTGTACAAGCCGGTGAGGAGTTCATCGAAATAGGCGGGTATCAGGTAGCGGGGTAACTGCTTGAGCGGTCGCATCCTCCTCTCGAGCCACTTGCCCAGTTTTTCGGTGCCCTCGTCCAACTTGAGCCTGTCGCTCACGTAGTCGATCATCCAATCGCCGCTGCGCAGATTAGAGCACAACGGATGACCCAGATCGTTGCTCGACCTGATCTCGGATAGGGGCGAGATGAAACCCTGCAGGCCGCAGTAGACGGTCGGCCCGTACGACGGAATGTCGTACGCACCGAAACCGAACCCTTCGTCGCGTTCCTCCTGATCGCATCTGTACAGCACACGATTGTAGTCGGCCAGATCGAGTGAGGACACGATTTCGGTCAGCTCGTTCCGAACGGAATTGTCGTCGATCAGTTCGCGGCGCAACTCTCGGACAGCCATCTCAGCTTCGGCAAGCAGACCCACTCTGATGGCGACCACGCAACCTCTGGTGAAGTTCTTGAATTGTAGACGGTACGGTTCCGACGCAGACTTGCGGAGGAACCGGGACTTTTCCAGCGGCAGATTTCGTTCGATCTGTAGCTCATAATTACGCAGACCATTGATGTACTTGTCGTCCCTGACGTATGCGGCGGCGTCGACATCAAAGTCACGCGTTTTTAGCGAGGCCTCGAGGATGATTTCTCTGACCTCCCCGTCGATGGCCAGCGGTTTAACGTGGCGCCTGTCGATATCCTCCTCCCTCGTGGACGTCGCATCGTTAAAGTCGGTGAATGCCACCAGGATGACGCTCTCGTGATTGTTCGGATTGTGCCTGGTCACTGCAACGACGTCCGCGTCCATCTGGTCCACGAACACCTGAAACGCAGCAAATGATTGTCAGCGATGATCTCGATGGTACTCGGTCCTCCTACCTACCTGATTGAATCCGTTCCGGGCCAGATAAGAGTGCAGCTCGTTCAGAGCCCTTTTGGCCGCCACGATTCCGCTGCTCGCGCTGACGAAACGTCGGTCGTCGTAGTCGTCGTCGTCGTTTACGGTTTTCTGCTCCTCCTCCTCTTCCTTCTCCTCTTTGCTAGACCACCATTCAGCGTACTCCCTGGTCTCGTCGACGACGTGCACGTGGTGCGGAATCAGTTCGTCGTAACCTCTGCTCGATCCGATCGCGCAGCATGCCATGCTGACCAGGGCTGCGTTCGGCAGGATGTCGTATACAGAGCGCTTCTCGATGGGGCATGGATTGTCGTGGGTGAGGTCGAGGAAGAGGGCGTGCGCAACGGATGGCGTGAGTGGCCTAACGTGCGGTTGATAGAACGCACCCACCGGATCACCACCGAAACGATGCACCTGCCGTCCAAGCTCGTTAGAATCCCATGCGGACATCGCCTCTGCAGAAATGAAAATAGAACAAATGTACAAATTGCACACGCAGTCGTATACACACACACTGCATACCTCTGATCAACGAGTTGATGCCCAAACGGTTGACGAAGATGTTATCCTTGCGATCGGAATTGGTGAAGAGCTCGGCGACGACGTACAGTTCCGGCTTGACCTTGCGCGCGCAATCCAACAGGTACTCGGCAACGGGCATCGGCGTCGAATGGCAATTATCCAGTCGCACCCCGTCAAACATTCTGGCCATCGTCTCGACGTACTCGCGCATATGCTGCCACAGGAACGGACAATCCTCGGGTCTCTCCCCGTATCGCAGCTTCACGCTATCCGACCACGCGATCAGCTCCCTCCGTAGGTATACCCTCGAGTCGGCAGCAAAGTTTTGCAGCGGATCCGCGTTCATCACCCAGCCGTTGTGGACCATCAAGTATTTGCCACCTCCGTCGTTCTCGTACATCGTCCGTTCGCATTCCTTCAACGTGCTGCTGCTGCTGCAGCAGCGGATATCGCCGGTGGTGAAGTATCTGTAAACGAGAGGGAACCGTTCCGAGACCTCGCGAATTCCGGGTCCATCCTTCTGCACGCGAAAGTACCGAATCCCGGCGATGCAGTTGTCCACTGCCGCCGTCAGATGATCGCGCAGATCGTTCGCGACCTCGACGTTGAGGCCGTCCAGGGCGAGCTTGAACTCCTCGGTGCATCTCCTGATCCTGCTCTCCTCGTCGAAGCAGTCTCCGCGGTACACGTTGTAAATCCTCAACGCCAGGTCCATGTCGACCCTCGTGGCTAAACGCCTATAGTCGGGATCTTGGATGAGCCGCAGTAACCGCTGATCGACATCGAGTTCGTTCATCATTCGCGGCACTCTGCCCCTCGCCATATCAGCGAACTCTGCCACCAAGGTCTTAACGTCGCAGACGAACATCTCCTCGAGACGCAGCGAGTCGATCACCTCGTTCTCGAGTACGTACCGGATAGCCTGCAAACGCATACAAATAAATTGGTTGGACGGACGCGACCTTGAATACACGTATGCATACCTGCAGATGTTCCTCCGTCGAGATGCCTTCGGGGGGAATGCCTTTCGATTCGAAAGATCCGCGCGCGACGTCCAGAGAGAAGAGGTGAAGGGCCGCATCCAGCAGGTAGGCGGGACGCATGTACGGGCAGTTCGAGCAGTTGTACGTCGCCTCCGGATGCTCGAGCAGCCAGCCGCTCTCGTTGGCCGTGTGATTAAGAACGATGTCGCATATCGACGTGATCTGTTTGATTTGTCGTCACGAATATTTACGAATGTTTAGAGGAGAAAAAATATAGTGAATTTACCTTCCACTCTGTTCGGATTTTGTCGAGGAATTGCTCGACCTGCTGGTAATCGGCGCCGAACTGCGGATTCAGTTTGTGCTGATCGCAGAGACTGTACGATGAGCGCGATGCGCCCAGCTCCTGGATCGGCGTGAAATGGATCATATTGTAGCCGGACTCTTTGGTGACTCTCAGTTTGGCCTCCCAGGAGGCGAAGTTGCCGAGGCTCTTGGCGAGCACCGTCTGGCACTGGATCGCATCGAGCGGCAGAGTTTCGCCGACGTCACCGAAAGTCAGACGGGGATCGACGATGAAGTACCCGGAGCCCTGACGACGTCTGCGATTCAGATTCAAATTAATTGCAATTTCAATTTCAGACCAAACACAGCCGGCCGTTAACCGTTGCGCGCTCACTTTTTTTCATCCTCGTAGGCAAAGTAGTAGTGGAAGCTGCCGGAGACGTTCGCTCTGATCGGGTGCGTCGCTGGTGCGGCAGCATCACCGTCGGCTGTCCAATGCAGCTGCACGTATCGATTCCTCTTGAAGTCTCCTCCGTCCTTGGGATAGTTACAGAACAGGGCAACCCTCTTGCCCAGAAGTGTAGGGCCGAGACGAAACTGCAGTTGCCAACCGTTCTCCATTCTGAAGAGATCTGTGTCCCGGTGCTCGCCGTGCGAAAGGGTTAAAACTCGAACCTCCTCCTCCTTCATTTTCACCATCGTCGCAGTATCGATGCTCGTCCTTGCAGACAGTTTCTGGTGAATCTCTTCCGTCTGCTGCACGATCAGCTGCAGAGTGTTGACGATCTCCTCGTGGATGGATCGTATCGTATCAGATTCGGGTCGCCGTCTCTCAGCAGCGGCGCATGCCACCAAATTGTTGGTTCCCGCGCCTAGACCAGAGTTTTCCAGCTGCTTCCTCAGGCTGCGAACGCTTCCCGGTTTGATGACGGCCAAATCTTCGGTACGTCTGTCACCTCTTCCTCTTCCTCCTTCTCTGACGCAGCCGTTGCTCCACCGTCCGAGTTCGTCGTTGAATACTTCAGAGATGATCTCGTTGAGGAGGGGTTGGCGGCGACTCAGCGGGTCATCATCGTTGGAACTGTCCACTAGTTCTGACTTGCGGCGACGGCGACTGTGGCCGTTCGATGTTGCAACGATACGGTGCTCGGTGATGCCGTTCTCCTCCTTCTTCGTTCCGCGCTTCCTCTCGACGCCAACAATCTGGAAAGGAAAGCAGTGAAACAACAATGAGAATTCGATACTCTCGGACGTCTGATTGTATGTGAGCGATGAGCATGATCTTGTCGTCGGAAGGATGTTATTACATCTCCGTAATATAGCCTGCATCCTTCCTTACGTTCTCGCATCTCCTCGAAACGGCCAACAGCTTCAGAGCGCACCACAGCGTAACATCGACGGCCTTCTCCTTGGCGCCCCTTGCAATCACACCGAAAGCGGACCGATGAAAAGTTTCATTTTTGTCGTCGTCGTCGTCGTCAATCCTTTCGCGTATTCTTCCCATATTCCAGCAATAACTGACGATTCGACCACGATGCAAACCTTTCTCCTCCTCCTCCCCATTCTATCCAACGCGATAATGTTGCTTGATGCGACGGGTCATACGGTCATCACACAATAATGTGTGTGTGTGTGTGTGTGCGTAATTCATAAATTTAGACATGATTTCGTGCATATAATATCATCATTATCGGCTGACAGAGGTGGAGGAGAACAATGATAAATATTTTTTGTTATGTGACTTCTTCGCATGTCACGACGCTAAAAATAGTAGTCACCAAATATCAAATCAAAGTAAGCTCTGTATGTATGTAATCAGCCAACAACAACATTTTACAATAAAATCGTGCAGCAGCAGCAGCACACTTATATCGATGTACAAACATAATAGACGACAGTTAAGACGCTAAAAAAATGTAATCAATAAATCGACAATTTAGAAATATTGTAAAAAAAAAAACAGTTTAAGCATACAGGTGCGGTAAGATATTGTGGATGGGATAGCTAAGATGAGAAATGCATAAATACACTTACAGCTCAGATCTCCTAGTTTCTATAGATTTCTGTTCTGTTGTTGTTCGTTGTATTTTTTTTGAATATTTGCGGTTGTAGGTCGCGGTCAGTCGCGGTGGTCTCTACTACTCGTACAGTGGTGCAGTGGTGGTGGTGCTGACCAGTAGTGCTGACTGGCTGGCCTAGCTGGCTGACTCGAGGGTACGGCAGCGGTGACCTTCCAATGACATTGACCCATGCATCCATCAAAACCAATCAAAACAAACCAGTTTCACCAGTTTTCAACGGCCAACTTCGGGTCGGTCGATTGTTTGTTTGTTTTATTCGAAACAGGTGGACCAACGATACGACGCAGAAAGTGACCAGATCCAGATCTTGTTTTTTTTGGTGTGTGTGTGTGCGTATGTGATGTAAACAGCTGATGCTGTTTGGGGGTTGTGTGGTATTAGTAGTAGTGGTGGTAGTGGTAGTGGTGGCACTCAGTAGCACTACATTTGTAATTGTCAAAAATGTCTTGTTGGATATATTCGGATGAAAATTAACATTAGAGTGATGATGAGCGATCAGTCTTATTAGATTCGTGGGATCTGGTTGTTTTTTGGTAGATTGCTTCTTCCACTTTCTTCTACTTCTTCGCTGCTCTCCAATAGTGAAGGGGGGTGGGGGCCCTTTTGGTGGTTTTCGTATCGGAGTTGGCTGTGCGCGTACTAGAATGGACAAAGAAATGTGCAACATAAGCAAAAGGTTGGTTGACGAAGAAGAGGTCGTTGAGGTGGAGGAGGAGGAGGAGGAAGACGATCAAAGCGAGCGCGAGTTGAGCAACAGAATTTTCAGTGTGGATAGTGCTGAGGAGGAAGAGATGGACGAAAAGGAGAAGATGTTGAACATTGCGAACCTGGATGAGCCCATAGGTGGTGGTGGCGGTGGCGGCTGGGCAAATGACGATTGCGACGAAGACCTGGACAACGTGAATTTCTTCCATCGAGTTAACAGTGATCAGATCATCTACCAGACCAAGAAGAGGAAACTCAAGCTCATCGGCAAATACGTGATGGGGGATCTGCTCGGCGAGGGCTCATACGGCAAGGTGAAAGAGATGCTGGACACGGTGACGCTCTGTCGACGAGCCGTCAAAATTCTGAAGCAGAGACGCCTGAGGAGGATACCCAATGGCGAGCAGAACGTGCAAAGGTAGGAAAGACCTGACCAGATCACAAATTATTACTACTCATCATTCACTTTCCATTTTATCTGCAGTGAAATTAAGCTACTGAAGAAGCTCAAGCATAAGAATGTCATAAGTCTAGTCGACGTGTTGTACAATGAGGAGAAGCAGAAGATGTATCTGATCATGGAGTTTTGCGTGGGCAGTCTGCAGGGCATGTTAGAGTCTACGCCCAAAAAGAAGTTTCCCCTGTTCCAGGCACACAACTACTTTACGCAGCTGATTGACGGACTGGAGTATCTGCACAGCATGAGAGTGATACACAAGGACCTGAAACCGGGCAATCTGCTGCTCACTCTCGAAGGGGACTTGAAAATCTCTGATCTGGGTGTCGCGGAGGTAAGTGCGAATGTGCGTGTGCACAAGTTATTGTTCCTGTTGTTTTCCTTTCCATTTGGCGATATCATCATAATTGTTCATGCTACAGAGCAGAGCTCATTCCAAAAGAAAATCGTCGTCGTCAAGGTCGCCGCTAAATATTCATTGATTTTGCAGACGATAGATTTGTTCGCCGAGGATGATACGTGCCACAACGGGCAGGGTTCGCCTGCCTTTCAGCCGCCGGAAATCGCGAACGGTCTCGAATCGTTTCCGGGCTTCAAGGTGGACATCTGGAGTGCCGGGGTCACGCTGTAAGTGTACATATGCAACACATTGCGCACATCGTCGAGAGGAGGACAATTAACACGTTCTTTTCTCTCTCTCTCTCTGTCTCTATCTCGTCATAGGTACAACCTGACGACAGGCCTGTATCCGTTCGAGGGGGATAACATCTACAGGCTGTACGAGAACATCGGCAAGGGGGAATTCACGATACCAGAGGACATCGAGAATCCTCTCAGGGATCTGCTGCTCGGTATGTTGCGCAAAGAACCCGAAGAGCGCTTGAATCTGCAGGAGATTAGGCAGCATCCGTACGTCCGCATTCGTATGAATTTATATAAACGTTCGTTTGCTTACTGATCGTGTCTCTTTTTCTCTCTCTCTCTCTGTATGTCTGTCTGTCTCGAACGTGCTCCGTCCGTCCGTCCGTTTAGATGGTTCGGTCGGAAACCGCCGAGGAATTCGTACGAAGTTGCGGTGCCGCCGATGGCAGGTGATCAGCTGCACAACATGACCGTCCTGCCGTACCTGCGGGACCACTTTTACGACGACGACTACGAGGACGTAGAGGATGGCGACTATTCGACGACAGCGGGCAATGCGGCGGCGACGAGGACGGCCGATACAGTTGCGGGTGCCGAACACGATGAGTACGACGAGGACGACGACGGGGTCCGATATTACACCGAGAGGGATCTGAACGGTTCAAGCAGATGCGGCGCCATTGAAAGTCACATTAAATCGTTGTTGTTTTTCTGTTTCTGTTCGCAGAAGAGCGCAGGAAAATCGACGAGGAGCACAAGAACGGGGGTTCCGCACAAATGAACAATTACCATCATCAACACCAGCACTGCACAAAGCGAAGGTGGAAGAAACCGATCTCGTGCATTACCGTGAAAAGATTGCCCGGCTGCAAGCAGTCGTGACATTCCTTCTCTTCCTCCTCCTCCACCACCTCCATCATCATCATCGTTTCCATCTCAACCATACCTGTAATCGAACGTCGCCGCTGCTGCTGTCTGCGAACGATTATTAATTGAGTGGTAGCCGTGGCAGAAGCTGTAGTCGTTGCACGATGATCACTATTCGCAGCATTTCATCCTCTTCTTTTACAAAATAATAATAATGATGGTAATGAATGACGATGGTTTTGTTGTTGTTGATGGACAGAAATTATTTTTGTAAACAAAAGAAGAAAGAAAGAGAAATGAATGTAATTAATAAGGAAGGAATGAAGGAAGGATTGAGATGTTTGTTTGATCGAATGCAAAGGAAGCAAAGAATTGTTTATTTTATTTTAAATTTTTATTGTAAATACGTGTGTTACGTGAATAGGAAAGAAAAGAAATAATGAAAATAAGATTTATCTATTATTATTATAGATCGCTGTAACCGATTGATTTGATTGGTGATGATGGTTGTTGTTGTACCATCATCATAATAATAATATTAATACATAACATACATACATACATATATATATATTTTCTCCTACAAAATTCGAAATGTTCATGTTTTTTATTGATTTATTGTTGTTGTTGTCGGCGCTTCTCTTTACCGCTGGTCGTAATTAATAATTATAACGAATAGAATAGAAGACTCTACCTACTTTTGACTGTAAACCTAATTATGTATTTGTATTTGGGAAGAAGGAGATGCGACAGCACAACATCCAACATTCCCAGGTTTCTCAATTAGTTTGCACTCTTTTTACTCTTCTTTTTCTTCTTCGTCACCGGCTCGTCCTTGCTGTCGTCGTCTCCTCCACCCCCGTTGGCTTCGGTCAGGGAATTGCCGTTCGTCCCTTCGGACTTGCGCTTCTTTTTCTTCTTCTTCTCGCTGCTGCCGCCGCCGTTGACAGATTGATCCATCTGCTGCGACTGCTGCTGCTCGAATTCCTCGAGCGCCTCCTTCATCACCTCCAGATTCTTCTTGGGTACGTCGCCAGTCTCGTAGAACTTGAGGCGATCCTCGACCTGTTGCCTGAGTTTCTCCCCAAACACCGAACTCGATGTCTCGTTGAAGCAATCGATCCTGGTGGCGATCGAGCATTTGTTCGCCAGATAACGGGAAATGCGTCCCTTGTTGCGGGCGCCGGCGCGCGCGATGAACGTCGAGTGGAAGAGTAGACCGTACTTGGGCGTATTGCTCCTGGTCTTCAGAGCTCTGAAGAGGGCCTTCTCGGCACCGAGAATCTGAACGGTGGAGGCCGGATGCTTGGCCAGATTGGTGAGAGATCCGGCGTGCGAGATGAGCCTCGCGCCCACCTGATCGCCGACGAGGGTTGCAAGGTTCGGGGCGATGCACGACATCTTGCTGTGCAAATACTCGACCAACTCTTTTCTGTAGTCTGCCAACGAGATGACCCTCGTAGCGAACATCTCGATGTTCAACAGATCAACGACGCTGATGTCCATGCCCATAGACGACCTGGACGCATCCAGGATCGCCTGCGCCTTACCAGAGTCCATAGTGATCTCCTCGAGTCCGGCCAACGAATCCTCGCTCATCTCTTTGCGATTCTTAATGAATTTCGCGCATCTCGCGAACGTGTAGTTGTCGGGTACGATTTTGATGAGTTCCGGGAAATGGTACGAATACCACTCGCTGCAAACATAAATAAATAAATAATTAATGATGATGATGTGACGGCGGCGTCGAGTGCGGTGGTTTCGCTTCTTTCTTTCTTTCTTTTTTCTACTACTCACCGTATACGCATAGAGAATGTATTGACGTCCTTGTCCAACTGATCGAGGAGAGCTATGCTCTGAATGATCATGTTGTCAACACGGTTAACGTTGAACTTGACTTTAGCCCTGGAATAGGAATGGCCGAGACCCAATTGAGCAACTCCGGCGCTCTGATTGGTGAAACCCTTGACCAGATTCGGAAAGTAGTTCCTGATGCCCCTGATGATCTCGGGCACTGAGCCAGTGTGATTGCACTGGATGGCGAGGGCCTCGGTGATGGCCGCACCCAGCTTGGCATCTGCGACGCCCAAGGTGACGGTCTTCTTTTTCTTGCCCTTGGGCACGGTGATGTCGAGGAACTGCTGCAGTTCCTCGGTGACGATGCCTTCGGATACGGCGTTGATGTTCTCCAGAGCGGTGACGGCCGTCTTGAACGGAGAGAATCCGGTCAGCTTGACGACGCTCTTGAAACGGCTCAACTCCTTGATCGACTCCTCGATCGAGGGCACCATAAGTCCGATCTCTTCGAACTCGAGCACCTCGAACACGCCGTACCCAGCGGCATGCTCGTACAAAACGAACAGCTGCGACTGCGGACAAACAACAACAACAACAATAATAACAATGAAAGCATTTTAATTTGATTTCGTGATCAAAATCGACGATGACGAAAATAAAAGAAAATGGCACCCGCCTGCCTGCCTCGCAACCATGCCTTAAAAGTGAGGTTATGTTGTTGGTAAACACACGTTCTGGCTGGCGTGGGGTAGCGTTGCCGTTTTTATTTGCATGTACGTACACGTGCATTTCAATTGTATTTAGGGCCCCCCGCAACAGATTAAAGACTTTACTCACCATTCTTCCTGAACGAACGTCCTCGTCGACTATTTATTAGTTACACAAATTACTCAAATGCAGAACGGGACTGTTGACAAAACGACCATGTGGCCGCCGCAAACAAGCGAACACGAAACAACGAATACCAAACAATTCGCTCGGATGGACGAGGATGGAAAACGACTGGTGGCGACGACGGCGGCAATCGCGGGAAAACAACGACACTGACGACGCCATCTATATTCTCGCCCTGCAAATGTACCACGAAAATAATGTACCCAATGAGATGAACGTGTGCGAACGACAACAAATTTGTATCGAGATCTACGCTCTGATCTACACCACAATTTCATGTTCCTCGCAATATAAACTGATGTCTTTCATATTTCTCACGGCATCGATGTTTGGTTCGGTATAATGTTGATAATTCGTAACCGTTTTCATCGTTACTAGGATTGTCTAAGACAGCTGATCGAAACCGTTAAGATAGTGAACCGGTCAAGTGGACTCCTCTGGATCCTCCGCAGTTTGTTGTTCTACCATAAAATAAGTGTAATATATATTTACAGAATGATATGTGTTGATGGTGGTGATGGTATTAAGCAAATGTGTGTTTTTATGGTTTGCAGGGTTGTAGTATCAGAATGTCCGGTTACAGGAGAGAATACACAAGGGATGAGGATCAGCAAATAGTTGATTACATTTTGCAGAACGATGCCGTTTACAAATTACGTGGGACAGCGATGTGGAAGCAGATGGAGCAGTCAAAGCAGTTTGACAGAACATGGCAATCGTTAAAGAACAGATTCCTGAAAAAGATCTATGACAATATGCATCTTATGGATATCGAGCATGCAGACTCTGAGAAGATCAGAAAAGGATTTCAGGCCACCAAGAATGACCCTAAAATGAAAGACTGTAAATATACCAAGCAGCAGCATGATGTGGAGTTCTCCGATTGAGAGAGAGCAAGAGAAAGATCAACATCAATTATAAATATTGTACAATATGAATTATTTTTACCATAGAGATAAATCTTTTTATATGAAACGGTTGCGTTTGCTGCCTCCTTCTGTTCTCTCTGCTCCTCTTCCTCCTTAATTCCTCGAATACTGCTGCACTGAAAAATAATTGCATGCAATTCTTTATGTGTATGTACGTACGCTTGCATACATGTCGTGCAGGTTGCGGTCAACAATCGAGAGACCAGCTGTCATCATGACATGACATATGTGTCAATGATCAGAGGCGGTCTTGTTTGTCTCTTCGTCGGTGAATTTGATTATGATAATAATAATGTTGACGATGATTTCGTAGAATTGCTTCAATCGCTCCATCTGGCTCCACCGCTACCGCTTGAACTGTATCAACTCGCTCGTACACTACTAGCCCGTGAATAATATTGAGACAAACGAACGAAGAAGAGGTAGGAAAAAAGAGAAGTGCACGAGAGATTTATTGCATCACATTGGTGAAGAAGTGTGAGAGTGGTTGTAAAAGAGAGGATCATCGAAATTACAGCAATGACAACCGCAAAGGAAGAGCTTGGTGAGTGTGGTGATGTTGATGAAACCCACCCGTATCTGCTTTCATTGATGAGATGTTGTAATCTTTTTGTTCTATTGCTTCCATGTAATAGAACTGCTGGAACGTGTTTTCATGAGAATCGGTTCAACGGAAGATGATGCGCAACTGGAGAGAGAGCTGGGCAAGTTTCTGCCACCTGTTCTACTGAAGCTCTCTTCGGAGAAGGATGGCGTTCGAAAGAAGGCAAGAGATGTTTTCATTTTTTGAAGAGATAAATGTGACTTATTATTATTATTGTTATTGATGGTGCAGGTCATGGAGCTGCTGGTGCACGTGAACAGGCGGTTGAAGAGTAGGCCTTTAGTTCGACTGCCGTTCGATGCGTTGCTCGCCCAATATCAGGATCCGATGGCAACATCTTTCGTGATCGTACGTTCAAAAAACATAGCCAAATCACACAACATATAGTATTATAATATGTTTTAGAATTTCACGATAATCTATCTGAAATTGGGTTTCCCGCGGTTGACCATCGAGGAACAGGTGGCTCTAGTGCCGGGCGTGCTGATGTCGATGGAGGGAAAACCCGAGACGCACCAGGATGGGCTGATGATGCTGCTGGTGCCGTTGCTCGGGGAAGTCACTGTGCCGATGGACGCGGCAAAGAGGAAGGCTTTTCTAGGTGTCAACAGTAATTCGAAGATTTTGCAGCATTTTCTGACGCTCCTCCTCGACATGCTCCTGCTGCCATACGGGTGAGAAAGATAGAGAGTCATGTGCTGGCCTCGATATGGATTTGCGACGGTTGTACTTGCTCGTTGCAGGGTGTCGCCTGCTGAGGTGAAGGAACCGAACGGAGCGGATTTCGCGTCTCCACCTGGAATGAGCGTCGATAGTTTCAGACGAGTGACGAACGGCTTCAAATCGTTGAAGGCTGAGGATCTGGAGAAGGTTCGTACAAGAATCGTCGTCGTCGTGATCATACAATATTTATATATATGTGTGTGTGATGTTGTAGATGAAGTTGGGTATCGTCAAGTTCCTTTCGAGCGGAATCTTCGAACCTGAGAGAATTCTCATCCATATGATAGTTGGTGCTGCGGATACTCGCTTCAGCGTCGCCAATATTGCAGACTCTGAGCTGAAGAGGATCGTCGGGTAGGAGCGTTCAGTAATTGCTGCTGCTGCGGATGATGTTCATTATTGTTGTTGTTGTTGCTGTTGTTCAAGGCTAATTAATTGGAACAACAAGAATCTTTCTGGGAACCTGTACATGCTGTTCCTAGGCACTTTCAATCCGATCAACGTGCCGCCGAACAGAAGGAAGACGGAGGCGAGCACCAGGATCCGACTGAAGCTCCTCACCTACCTGGGCCGTTTCCAAGGTAAGGGAATCGCTCTGCAGCTGGCCACGCGTGTCATCCTCGACGCTCTGTTCGGCACGAACACGAACGCTCGTCTGAAGACGTTGGCGCTGAGTTTTGCCATAACGATCGTTCGGACGTGCGACATCGACGACGTGCAGAAATCGGCCGTCTGGTTGAAGTCGGTGCCGACGAAACTGATCACCGAAGGCGATAAGCAGCTTCTCGCCCAGTCCTTCGCCATACTCGGTCTGCTGTGTCAGCGATGCCCGGAGTCGTTTCGCAACGATTTCCACGTGCTCATGCTCATTTTCGAGAAGTTGAGCGACGCCGACGCCGATGCCAATCTGAAGCTGCAGGTGAAGGAGGGCGCCCTCAACATCGTGACCTCGATGAGTCCGAGCACCTTCGATCAGACGGACACACCGTTCGTGCTGCTCAAGACGTACGTGCAGTCCGCCGAGTCGATGGTGCGTTACGTGGCCGTCAGATGCCTCGCCTCGATCTTTCCCGCAGATCACGTGCCATCCAGGCTGCAGCTTCTTCTCGCCACCGGAGACGCGTGAGCAATAATCATCAATATTTCGATCGATCGATAGATTTTAATGTTCTTCGAATCCGCAGGAAGGACGACGTCTGCACCGAAGTGTATCGATCTCTGTATGGGAACGGCGGCGGCGCCGACGACGGTGGCCTGAGGGGGCGCAACAGGGCCGAGGTCGAACGATCGCTGCGAGGTTGGAGCGAGGCGGATCGTCGTTCTCTGGTGGTGCCTGCATTCAAGGAGATGGTGCGCTACGTCTTCTCCGACGGTCAAGCGATGCTTGAGCAGGGTCGTGCTCCTGCAGCGGTCTACGCAGAGACGCTCATCTACATGCGGTTCTGTCTGCTCAAGGATCTGATGGAGGTACCGATTAGCTGCGGCGAGGTGTTGCGTCATCCGTGCCCCACCACGCCGATCATCCGTGCTCACCTTCTGAGTATCTACGAGCAGGAGTGCAAGACCGGCAACGGTGCACTTCATCAGTACGCCGCGTTGGTACGACTCTTCATGCTGAAGATTGCAAGTGAGTGCAATGACAATTTCCCGATTCGTTTGTTACATGCGTTCGTTCGTTCGTTCGTGTTTGTTTCGTTTCGATAGATACGGACACGCTGGGCTGCATGATCGAGCTGTTGGGTTGCGTTCCGCAGCTGCACGGCACTCTCTCCGCAGACCGCAAATGGCTGAAGAACCTGATGCTGACGAGCGGCAAGGAGGAGATCCGCGAGTCCGCGGCCACGCTCTACGCCATCCTGCTGCTCGGCAGTGAAGAAGATGCGAGCGCAGTATTGTCGTTCGATGAGGAGGTAGAAAGCTTGCGCGAGCAGGCGCAGACGGGAAGGCAGCTGGAGGCGCAGAGCGGAGCCATCTTCGCCGTCGGCTACTGCCTAGAAAGAAGGATGCAAAATGCGACGAAGATGCAGGACGAAGCGTTAGTCCGTCTCCTGATCGCAGCGCTCGAAACGTTCGGTAAATTGAATTACTACAATCATCATCATCGTCGTCATCATCTTTGCTTCGTTTCAGTTCCGTTCTTGACCAACAACGTGAGCAACACCACTAGCGGCACCATCACCCTGAACAATGCCTGCTTGGCAATCGGATTGCTGGCCAAAGGCGGTCCGCTTCCATTGAAAAACGACGACGAAAAGGAGGATGTTACAGGATCATCGTCTTCCTCCTGCAGCAAATTAACGTTGGTGAAGGCGCTTCTGGTGACGATGAACAATGCCAAGCTTGCGACCAAATGCAGGGAGAGGGCGGCACGCACCCTGGGTCTGCTTGCAGTCGGCGAACGTAATTTTCCGCACACCCGGCTCATCATCCAGGGCCTCCTGGACACGGTCAAAGAGGTGAGTGAGCAAAGCGATACACGCAGATACGATTATAAACATAATTAATTAATTAATTCTCGTTCAGACGAAAGACGTGGAGGTCCACTTTACGATCGGCGAGTCGCTGGTGATGTGCGTGCAGGGCGTCCGATCGCCGGAGGCGCGGAACGCGTGGACGGTACTTCCTGCGGACCACGAACGCACGTCGAATGTCCAGGGGGATGTTCAGATCGAGCTGGACGAGATGCTCGAATGGTTGCTCGGAGAGCTACTGAATTTCGCGACCGGCACACACCCCAATTCGAAGCAGTCATCGAGCATCTGGTTGCTCGCGCTGCTTCGCAATTGCGTGGATCGCGCACCTATCGAAAGCAAATTGCAGCAGCTGCAGCAGACGTTCATGCAGCTCCTCGCCGAGAGTAACGATGTGGTGCAGGACGTCGCCTCGAAAGGTCTCTGCCTCATCTACGACCACTCCAAGTCCGAGGATCTGCTGACCGCTCTGATGGATCAGCTGTCGGCGGGAAGGCGGCAGGTCGTGCAGGTGGATGACAACACGAAGTTGTTCGAGGAAGGTCAACTTGGAAAGGCTCCAACCGGGTGCGTACACGAGCACGCGCGTACCCTACGGGCACGTTTAATCATTCATTTAATTCGGTTCGCAGTGGTAACCTGTCCACGTACAAGGAGCTGTGCTCGCTCGCCTCCGACCTGAACAAACCGGATATGATATATCAGTTCATGCAGCTGGCCAATCACAACGCGATGTGGAATTCGAAGAAGGGAGCCGCTTTCGGATTCGCCAGCATCGCCGATCGCTGCGGCGAGCGACTGCAGAGCTACCTGCCCGGAATCATACCGAAATTGTACAGATACCAGTACGATCCGTCGCCCAATCTGCAGGCATCGATGCAGAACATCTGGCGCACTCTGGTCTCTGAGCCGCAGAAGATGGTAGAATAGAACGAACAGCCAGTGTGGAAGGTGGACGAAAGGCACTTGATATGTGATATTTCACTTGCAGCTGGACCTCTACCACAACGAGATACTGGCAGAGCTGCTTGCGAACCTGACGTCACCGCAGTACAGGGTACGTCAGTCCTGCTGCCTGGCGTTGCAGGACTTTCTGAAGGGGGCCGGCAATCGCAGCATTCACGATTCGGTGCACGCCATGCACGAGCTGTGGTCAGGCCTGTTCCGAGTGATGGACGATCATCACGAGCAGACGCGTCTCGCCGCTACAAGGACGGCGAGAGTTCTAAGCAAAGTCAGTATATAATCATAATCATTGGTATTATCTTGTATCATTTTGTTTGTATGTGATGTGCGGCGATAGCTGTGCGTGCGAGGTGCAGATTTGTCGCAAGGAAAGAACGGCGCGAAGATGATCGAGGCGATAATGCCGGTCCTTCTGTCCAGTGGTATCACGAACAGCGTTCTCGAGATACGCATAGTCAGTTTGGAGACGACGTCCGAATTGGTCGTTGCGGCCGGGGAGCAACTGAAACCGGTCCTGCCGCACCTAATACCGGCCCTGCTGCTCGCCACCAGCGAACTAGAGTCGAGCCGCATGTCGCAGCTGAGCGCGATGCTCGGGGCGCAGAGTAACGCCCAGGAGGCCGTGGACACGTTGCGCGCCAGCATGGCCAAAACTCATGTGACCATGGAAACGGTAACCAAGTGTTTGCGGTACGTGGACTGCTCGATTCTGGAGGAGCTGGTGCCGAGGATCGTCGATCTGATGAAGGGTAGCGTCGCGCTCGGCACGAAGGTCGTGTGCGCTCACTTCATCACCCTGCTGACCGTGCAGACGGACGGTCAGATACTGCAGCCGTACGCCGGACGAATCCTCTCGACCCTCGTCATGGGTCTGACCGATCGTAACGCGCTCGTCCGAAAGAATTACGCTTCGACGATCGGTCACGTAGTGCGCGCCGCCAAAGACTCGAGCCTGCAGAAGCTCTTCGCCAAACTGAAGATGTGGTACTTTGAGCGAGAGGATGACGCGATCCGTAACGCTTGCGCCCACACCATACAATCGGTGGGTGTGCACAATCACGAGATCTTCAAGGCGCACTCCGAGGTTCTGCTGCCTCTCGTATTCTTCGCGATGCACGCGGACCACGGCCAGTGTTGCTGGCAGGAGGTGTGGGACGAGCACGGACCCGGCACCGAAACGGCGATACGACAGAACGTGGAAGCCATCTGCGAGACTCTCACAGCCGCCCTCGACTCGCCGTCGTGGACGATGAAGGCGCAAGCGGCGAACGCCATCTCGACGGTCGCCGCGAAACTCGGAAAGAGCATGGAGAAGCAGCACATGATCGCACTGATGAACGTCCTCGTCGCCGGCCTCAAAGGACGCACCTGGTGCGGCAAGGATAAACTGCTGATGGCCGTCGCGACGATCTGCAGCAATTGCACGTGAGTGTAGAGTAGTTATTTCGGTGGTCGGATCTTGTTTATTTCTCATGTCATTTTATTCGCAGCGAAGCGATCAGATCGGGGGATGACGGTGGTTCCGAGTCCTCTGGCATAGATGTGAACGTCGTGGTCGACGCGGTTCTGAGGGAGGCGCGCAAAGAGGAGGTCGTTCACAAGATCAAGGCACTGGAGGCGCTCGGAGATGTGCTCGAAAGTCTGCAGGTGGACCGATTCGAGGAGGTGTATCGGATCGCCGAGACGATCATGTCGGAGAGGGAAAGTGTAGGCAACGGCACCGATGAGACGGGCGTCGGGTCGTCGTCGTCGGCGGCAAACGACGAGGATGCGGCTGCCAGCAGGGAGAACAGGCTGAAGCTGCGCGAAGCGGTTTACGTGCTGCTCGGTAAAGCGTGGCCGAAAGGTGCCGCCGACACCCAGGACAAATTCAGCGTAATGTTTGCCGAACACTGCGCCACCTACCTGCCGCTCTCCACTCGAAACGTGCAGGTCTCCATAGTCGCTTCGTTGCGCGACTACGCCGACAAACTGGTCATCCTCGAACGCGACTCGCTCGACGCGGAGGAACGTCTCCGGCTGAACGCCATCGTCGACAACATGGTGACTGCGCTCGCCTACACTCTGACGATCACCAAGTACACCAGACTCAAGAAGGAAACGCTGAACGTTCTGCAAGTGCTCGCCAAGAAGCTCAAAGGTATGTGGTGGTGGAGACGATGGTTACTTGCTATTTTCAAATGAGTTAATTGTGCTCGTCTCGTTCGTTCATTGCAGAGAAATTGCCTGAGAATAGGAGGGAATTCGAAAAAGTAACACAACTATTTGCGGCGAACTTGGGCGATCTCTCCCGAGACGGTCAACCCGAGATCAAGTCCAGACTGACCGATCTGAAGCTGCTCTTCAAGACCGATTGAGGGATACGATGAAGGATACGATGTGTACGTGTCGTATGAGAGGGTATACTAAAATTAAATAATATTAATATTAATCAATGTGTAACAAGGGAGATGTTTGTTAAGAGATGTGCGAGTATACACACACTTAGACAACCCCCAGTAAGCCTCGATGTATCGATGTACAACAATATATATATATATATACATATATTTAAATATTAATGGGGACGTGGATGTTCGTTCTTTTATCTTTCTTTTGTATTCTACAATTTTACTATTCATGTACAACACACACCATGTCGTAGCCAATCTAATCTCTTGTAATATCTGTGTTAGTAGCATAGGCGAATTCCAAACATTACTTTTATGTTTATGATTACGATTGATTGATTGATTCCCCCGTGTCTGGCTTATAAAACGAATGTATTATCGTAAAATAAATGTTTCCACCTCGTATTCTTTCAATTACAATCATTTATACAAACAAACGAACGACGAAAGAGTAATTATTATTATGTTGGTATTTTCTGTTTGCGTATGACTTCAGGTTAGATTAGGTTATGTTCATGTGAAATTTGTAAATAAACAAACGGCGCTCGATTCGTATTGGTGTGCAGTGCAGTGTGCAAGTGAAACGAGTGAAACTACCACCAGCACGTTTAAAAGATGAGCAAGGAAGCAGAGCCGCCTCCACTGAAGGTAAGATTGCTTAACGTTAACTTTACGTAAAACCGAGAGGTTTGAATGACTGAGTGAAATGCTCTGCAGAGATATCGGAAAGAGGAAGATAAGGATGCGAGGGGACGAAACAACCACAGTGATTCAGATGACGATGAATACGTGCCGTACGTTCCTATCAAGGAGAGGAAAAAGCAGCAGCTGGTCAAGCTAGGCAGAATCGGACAGGTGTGATTGATTATCATTATTTGTGTTGTTGTTAGTTGTGGGGGTTTTAACTTTTCTGTCGGTTCAGCTTAAGGATGATCAGAGTAAGCCAAAGTCGTCCAGCGAAAACGAGACGAACGACGATGAGGACGAGGTGGAGGTGTGGGGCAGAAAGTACAACATTTCGTTGCTAGATCAGCACACGGAGCTGAAGAAATTGGCTGAAGGTGAGTCAGGATTGAGATTATTTGAAGATGCAGAATGATCGTGTTGTTCTTGTATGATTGATGATTGCAGCGAAAAAGGTGAGTGCAGCAGAGAGACAGCTGCGAAAGGAGGAGGAGATCCTGGAGAGCGTCGCAGAGAAGAAGGCACTGATGGGTGTGTCCGAGCTGGCCAAGGGTATCCAGTACAACGATCCGATTAAGACGAGGTAATACGATGGACTGAGAGACGAACGAACGAACTAATCAAACCGTTTTGTTGCAGCTGGAGGCCACCGAGATTCGTGAACGAGATGAGCGAGGAGAGACACGAACGTGTTAGACGTGAGCTGCGCATCCTGGTCGAGGGGGAGAGCATCCCGGCGCCTCTGACCACGTTCCGTCAGATGAAACTGCATGCGAGCATCGTCGCCGCATTGGAGGGACGCGGTATCAAAAGTCCGACGCCGATCCAGGTGCAGGGCATCCCGACGGTGCTCGCAGGTCGCGATCTGATCGGTATCGCCTTCACCGGTTCGGGGAAGACTCTCGTCTTCGTGCTGCCCATAGTCATGTTCTGCTTGGAGCAGGAGGTGAAACTGCCGTTCATCAAGAACGAGGGTCCGTACGGCCTGATCATCTGTCCGTCCCGAGAACTCGCCAAGCAGACCTTCGACATTATCCAGGGTTTCTGCGCAGGACTTCGGAAGAACGGCATGCCAGAGATTCGCAGCTGCTTGGCAATAGGCGGGGTGCCCGTCTCCGAGTGCATCGAAATAATACAGAGGTATTAATATAGAGAAAGTACATGTACAGACATTTAACCACATTTTTGCGTTCGTGTTGCAGGGGAGTTCACATAATGGTTGCAACGCCCGGTCGACTCATGGACATGCTCGAGAAGAAAACCGTTCGACTCGGTGTTTGCCGGTATCTTTGCATGGACGAGGCGGACAGGATGATCGACCTGGGCTTCGAGGAGGACGTCCGTACAATCTTTTCCTATTTCAATGTGAGTATCTACAGCAAGTAGTAGCAGAAGAAGAAGAAGAAGAAGCAACTTGAAAGAAAAACATTTTGATTTGTTGAGCGCAGGGTCAACGACAGACGCTTCTCTTTTCGGCGACGATGCCGAAGAAGATACAGAACTTTGCGCGTTCGGCGCTCGTGAAGCCGGTCACGATCAACGTGGGACGGGCCGGTGCCGCCTCGATGAACGTCGTCCAGGAGGTCGAGTACGTGAAGCAGGAGGCCAAGATCGTGTACCTGCTCGAATGTTTGCAAAAGACGCCGCCGCCGGTGCTCATCTTCGCCGAGAAGAAGCAGGACGTGGACGCCATCCACGAGTACCTGCTGCTCAAGGGCGTCGAGGCGGTCGCGATTCACGGCGGCAAGGACCAGGAGGAACGTTCCAGATCGGTGGAGGCATTCCGGAAGCAGCAGAAGGACGTGCTCGTTGCGACGGACGTCGCCTCCAAGGGTCTCGATTTCGCGGACGTGCAGCACGTCATCAATTACGATATGCCCGACGACGTGGAGAACTACGTGCACAGGATCGGACGTACGGGCAGATCCGGTAAGCAGGGCGTCGCGACGACGTTCATCAACAAGGCGAACGACGAGTCCGTGCTGCTCGATCTGAAGCATCTGCTGATCGAGGCCAAGCAGAAGGTGCCCCAATTCCTGGCAGATCTCTGCTCCGAGAACGAGAAGTACCTGAACCTGGGCGACGACAAAGGTTGCGCCTACTGCGGCGGTCTCGGCCATCGCATCACCGACTGCCCCAAACTGGAAGCGCTCCAAAACAAGCAGGCCTCGAACATCGGAAGACGCGATTACCTCGCCAACACCGCCGCAGACTATTAACCCTTGCTCCTGTCGTTTCGAACAATCATTTATTTGGAAATACTACCACTATTATTATTATTATAATTGTTGTTGTTGTTATTACTATTAATATATTACTATAGCATACAAAGAAATACACATCAACATCATCATTAACAACAGCAGCATCAGCAGCAGCAACAACAACAAGATATATATAAATATAAGGAACAGAGGAGATAAGGAAATGAGTGTGATGACTAGATTTGAATAATAATTATTATTAGAGGAGGTGGAGGAGGATGAGAATCGTTTAGAGTTGAATCACCGTCATCCTCTCAGTTTCCGTGTTGCATTCGTTGCTAGCAAGGTGTAGTGGTTGCTTTGCTGGCAACGCTTCCGCCTCTTCCATTTCCTCCTTCTCATTTCTGCATCGACGATCGGCTTCGATGAGAAGACGAGCTTCCAAATCAAAATCATCCTCGACGTCGATGATCAACTTTCGCTCGCTGCTGATGCTGAGGAAGAGGGCTGCAAGTATCGCAACGATTATGGCGAGCAGCAGAAACCATTTCGGTATCCCCGAGTTCCTGGACGCACAATCCAACCAATCGCCGGACGGCTGCTGCTGCTGCTGCAGTTGCGAATTTCCACGACGATCGTCCATCGCTTCCACGATCTCTTCCGTCCTCCAGTGATCATCGATCGGCATAGTCCGGATCTTTGCCTCCGGTATCTTGTATTCGACGCTGTATCCGATGATCTCGATTTGATTTTGCATCAGCGGTTCGAGGATCAAATCCTCCGACTCGACGATCTCCAATTCTGGTTCGACGATGACCGCAGCACCACCGCTCCTATCCTGCTGACGAAGCTGCTCGAATTGCAGGAACAACGGGATCAGCGACAGATCGGCCGCTTCCTTTCTCTTCCAGGTCGCCGAGCAGCCCACCTCGCACGACTTTAGCTGTTCCGTCCTCCCAGTGTATGCCTCGTTGCAAGCTTTTGCATATAAATATATAAATTGTCGTTTGTGATGATAATGATAAGGATCAACTTACAGAGATGACATTCTTCTTTTGTCGAATTCAGATCGTGATCCTCCCTCAGGTATATGATGTTGAAGATGCGACAGCCCCTCTGGCAAATCTCCTGCACGTCCTCGATCTGCGACCAATTTTAACAAATTATTAATTGATGACTCTTGCAGACGCATTAATATACTGATGTGCAGTTTTGTGGTGTGCTGCTGATGACTATCACAGACCTGGGGCAGCAGGAAGAAGCTCTCCGCACACGCTTCCTTGCATTGATCCAAATCACCGGCATCACCGCCGACGCTTGCTCCCACCGAGACGCACACGTACAGCAGGACTGCAGCGGGAGCTAACGACCGCAACCTCGACATGTCCTTTTGTTACTTGCAGAAATCGCTCAACTCTTTCCTTTCCGTTGTTCTCGACCACTCGACCGAACAAACGAACGAAACTCGCTCTCTCTCTCTCTATATCTTACTCACATTACAGAAACGCAACAATAATAACAACAAACCACCCACCACACCGCACCGCACTTTGTTCTCACGTCAATCAGAGAGCGACAAACGTCAAACAATGCGAGATACGTCAGCTGTCAGAATGGTGAGAATAAAATCGCGGCATTGCGATTAGCGAACAATAATAACAATAACAACAACAAGTGTGTGTGATTTTGGTGGTCGCGATTAGTAAATGTTGAAAAAAAAATAGAATTGATTGAACGGAAGGTTGCGAACAGTTGCGAATTGTTGCGAATTTAAAACGAACGGTTGGCGAAATCGTAAATTTGACAAGTGCCGCCACAAATAAGTTGTTGACAGTGGTGGTGGTGTTGTTGAATTCTAACCTAGAGACTAATAAAAATAAGTAAGTTTCCATTTCGTTGCACTGTTTGATAACAATATTATCAACATTTGTTAAATATTCGATATTGATTGATTGATTGTTTGTAGGATGAGTACGAGACCGGACGATCACCGCAGGAAATGGGATAGGGAAGAGTACGAGAGATTGGCAGAGGACAGGAAGAGGGAGGAAAAAGAGGAGAAGGATGAGGACGAGAAGAAGAAGAAGGGACCACCCGTGAAGAGGGAACTGTTGAAGCAGAGGGAATACAAGATCGACCTGGACAGCAAACTGGGCAAAAGCATCGTCATCAATAAGAGCACGCCGACATCGCAATCGGGTGGATACTACTGCAACGTGTGCGATTGCGTTGTCAAAGACTCGATCAACTTTCTCGATCACATCAACGGGAAAAAGCACCAAAGAAATTTGGGCATGTCGATGCGCATCGAGAGGAGTTCCCTGGACGCCGTCAAGCAACGTTTCCAGGTGAACAAGCGAAAGATGGAGGACAGAAAGAAGGAGTACGACATGGCATCGAGGATGCAGGAGCTCGCCGAGGAGGAGGAGAAGTTGCGCGAGTACAGGAGGGAGAGGAGAAGGGAGAACAAGCGAAAGATCGAGGACATCTCTGAGGATGGCGGAGGAGGCGGTGGCGGTGAGATGGAGCAAAAGGACGAATTGGCAAGCGTCATGGGTTTCTCGGGGTTCGCCGGAGGTGGCGTCGGTGGCAAAAGGAAGTAGAAAGACGTTATTTATTTAAATATCGTAATAGAGGAGCAGCGACAGGGTACAGGGCGATCGTAATCATAATTATTGTCGGTAGATGTGGATGAGAGACGGTTGTCGACGAGAAAGCGTCCTCGACGATCGGATCCATGATGAAGTTGCACTGGACCGTGATGATGGAATCGACGACGGTCCGGACGACTCGTTTCATCACCTTCGCCGCCTCCTTTCCGCACACCTTGGCCGCCTTGATGTAGTAGCAGTCGGCAATGTCCTTGTACGCCCTTTTTGTTGTTGTTGTTGTATTGTACACGAACAGACAATAACTTAAAGTTATATGTATATGTATTACCTGCATATTGCCCTGCGACTTGAGTCTTCAGTCCAGTCGGGCGGTCCGAAGCACGTTTCAAAGTCCTCGTGCAGCTGCTTCAGACAGGCAAAGTGTTCCTTGAAGTCGGCACGCAACCTGCTGTCCTGTTCGCAGATGGCGTCGTACAGTCTGTCGACTCCCTTGATCAGCTGTATGTAGAGGTCCTTCTCCGGTGGAATGCGACACGTCTGCAGGAACTGGTCCATCTTGTCCAGACTCTCCGATACCTGCCTATTTGTTTGTTTGTTTGTCGTTATTGCGCAACGTTATTGCGTTACTTGCACAGCAGATGGAGATTGTCGAAGGTGGACAGGTTGATGATGCTCTCCGGATTGATTGCCTGTATCTCTGCCAGATAGACCATCATCTGATCGTCGCTGCAGTTCGGCACGCCATCCGGACAGCACGATAAGTTCCTGCTCCTCTTCATTCTTCTCCTTCTCTCTATCGTCCCGGTGACGTCTTCACGTTTGTGCTTCAGGATGTAAATGTTTAAAGCATCACCGCCCTCGCCTTCGCCCTCGTTCTCTTTCTCGGTAGCAGGAGATGCAGGCAACGACGAATTCGATGATGATGCAGATGACGATGAGGAGGTGGAGGAGAACCATCGTTTAACGTTGGACAAGAATCCCTGATCTGTGCGCATCCGTTCATCAAACTTACCATTCGAAACGTTCGATAGAAGAAGCATCAATAGTAAAATGTATAAAATGAAAACTGGTGTCGCCGGCATAGCAAAACCATTGACAGCAGACAAACAAACAGACAGACAGAGACAATCAATTTGTTTGAAAGTTTCGAATATGAACTGAAGTGAAAAACATTATTTTTGCTCCGATCGTCATGTAATATAAAGAAACGCATATATTCTATTTTATTGTATACGTAGAGAGAGGAGTGTGGGACAAGTTGTAAATGAGAAATAAATCATTTCGAAAATGTAAATTGAAAGCGCAAGTGGAGCGCAATTGTTGTATTTAGATCACCGCAGCGTGCACCGATGCACCGTGGGTTGCGTTTGAATGAGTTTATTTTGGGATTCAGCTGAGTGCTGCTGAACTCGAAGAAAATCAATAATCATAAGTATTATGCCATACTAAACGACGACGACTAGACGAAGTCTACAAGATGAGGAAACGATGTTCGTTCAATATTCTGTATGTTTTGCTGGCGTCGTTGGGAGTTTGCAGGGCTGAGAATGTTTTGATGACCGAGGTGTTTGAGATCAAGGTGAATCCGTTGATGTTCAATTGGACGTTCGATGGTAAGCTGAATAGATTGATTGATTACGGTACGGTATTACTTGGTATTACTATTTTAGGTATAAGCGATCAGTTCGTGTATCAGGCATCTCTGCTGAACGCTCCGGATCTACCCAAATGGATCAACTACATATACAGCGGAAGACACGGTGCCGGTTTCCTTTATGGGGTGCCACCGAATCGGATGGAGCTGGTCACGTTGGAGATCGTGGGATTGAATAGGATGAACTACGAGACGAGACGCGTCGTTCTACCAATTTCCATCACCGAGAAGCTGAGTCCGGCCAGGTACGAGGTGCAGCTGAAGATCGACAATTTGAACGTCGAGGATATGTTCGACGTGGAGCGAATGGATCGGCTGAAGGACGTGTTCAGGAAGAGACTGTGGAAGGACAGCGAGGAAGATCTGTACGTCACGTTCCTAGCGTCGGCGATAGAATTGGGCGCTCGCCTCCCCCTCAATCCGGACGAGGGTGACGGGTACGTAGCAGTAGTAGTAGTAATAGTAACCGTCCACTTTTATTTATATTATTTGAAATGAATGACAATTGGCAGAGTCGTGCTGCGAATAGGGAGCAGGGTGCCGCTTTCGCAAGAGTTGATCGAGCTGCAGGAGGAGGTGAAACCGTTATGGAAGGTGCCGCTCTGCCCGAGGGATTTTAAGAGGACCACGGTGGAGCGCTTCTTCAGGGAGGCCGGTTTTGCGTTGGATTGGTGCGCCTTCAGATTGGTATGTACGCAATAGTGCAATAGCAACGTGCATGTTGTAACAAGATCGTTTGTTTCATGGAGCTGGAGGACAACAGTTCGGCCATGCAGCATTCGAGTTCGAGCATAGAGAACGTGCTGATGATCAGGAAGGATCACGACCTGGGACTGCCCGATCACTGGGAGAGCGTCCTCATCGACGACGTCCCGGAGCGCAGCTACGTCCACGAATTCCTCTTCACCATTCTCATCCCCATGTTTTTGATGACGATCCTCGCATTGGCACTCTCTCTGATACTCTGCTTCCACCACGAGGGCATGTGAGTTGTTTCTCTCTCTCTCTACCTCTCTATCATTCAGTCTCTTCTTGTATCTTTATATATTCTATAATAATTCTCTCTTTCTGTTTCTCTCTTCTCGTTCCGGCACTACTTGCGTACTTTTGCAGGGCTGATCCTCTTAGCGAAGATTACTTTAATAACGTTTTTCATATATGTACTGATCATTATTTCAGGTAACTGTTGTTTGTTTGTATGTGCAGACTATTTAACGTTTTCTTGTTTTGCTCTTTATCTTTATCACTAACGATATTTGTTGTTTTCTAATGCGTTCATTTCGATCGTGATCGTGATGTAATTTTGTTTTTGTTTGTTTTTTGTTGGGCAGTTCGAAACAACGAAGAGGCAACGAAGAGGACGAATCGAATCATCAGTTTGCAAGCATCCAGAGGGCGACCCAATCGTTGAGGAACTTTTCGACGTCGCGCGACTTTAGCTGTCTCAGCCCCGAATCGGTGCACCAACACTTGAAGGCCACCAACACCACCACGAGCAGCAGCAGGGGCGTCGCGACTGCTTCTTCAGATGGCGGCAGTCCTCCTTTCAATACTTCTACCATGACGACGACGGCGAGTGGCAAGGGCATCCATTGCAGGCCAAGTCCACCGCCCTACGTCCGGCCCAAATTCAAGCCGGACTTTTGACAGTCGCCGCGCACCTTCTACTGCTGAGAAAGAAAGTAGCAGCAGCAGCAGCAGCATCATCATTAGTCGCAAATCTAGTCAATAACAATAACAATATCAAGATTTAGTCATACAATATATGCAGTGCAATAAATATATTCACCTTCACCTGAATGTAGTAACACTGTTAATCATCACAGTAATATGGTAACGATAATCGCAAACAACGTACATTATTAGCATATTTTGATTTGGTTTTAGGGCTGAGAGAAAGAGAGGGAGAGAAAGTAAATCGATATTCGTATGTAAATTATATAGATTGAAAGACGGCACGGTATGACACTTTGCACTTGACGTTTGTGGTGTGAGAAATTTCGAATAATTGGAAAGTAGAGTTTAGAATTGTTTGTTTCCGGAAAAGGCTGGATGAGCTTGAAGCAACAAGACGCAAAGAGCGTAAATTTAGAAATCATCGTTCCTCCTTCCTTCCTTCCTTCCTATATGCTGTGCGTGCGTGCGTGAGTGAGTGCGAATAGTTGTGTTGGTAAGCACCGGAAATGTGCATGAAATGCAAACACTTTCGATTTTATTATTGATAAAGAAGCAATTAAAATGATACAGTTTGCGAATTGAATCAACGGAATCACCGTTAAATATATATTTATATGTATATTGGAGAAGTGTCGTGCGTGTAAAGTGCTTTCACCGCGCGATATTTATATTTGCAATTTGCGTCTGCATCATCAATACGTAGAACACTTTCTAAGCGCTCGCATTGCTCTAACTGTTGATTTGATCGGTCTGGGGATGAAATGAAATGTATTTATCTACGAAAGGAAATAATTATATATGTGGGTAGTTAGTGGTAGGTAGATAGGTAGACAGGTTGGTGTATAGATTGGATGGATAGAAGACTAAGAGCAGAGCGGTGCGGAGCAGTGGTACAGGTGTGTGCTTTCTTTTCCTTCGTGTGTCACACACACACATACCATCGAGGTCAGCGCGCGGCGGCGACGGTGAAGAAGTCTGCATCGCTGTGTGCGTGTGCATCGAACTACAATTAGTAGAACAGACGACGAAGGTGGTGGTAAGTAAAACCACACGCGCTCTCTGCCACCTCAGTTCTTTGCCGTCCACGGAACAAGAGTTTCAGTTGCTGCTACTGCTGCTGCTGCTGGCATACGAAAAGTTGTTGTTGTTATTAGTAGTTGAGTGTTTTAGAGAAGTTTTAGAGTGAATTGGTGATGAGATGGAGATTAAGTGTTCGATCGTCGACTCGGATTTGAAACTATTATTAATTTAGTAAGCCCTACGTTAAATCTTCTCTAATTTAAATAATAATTATCTCACAAAAATTAAATAAATTGGACGCGAAACAACAGTCGCGTATTATTTCTATTGCCCACACTATTGTCTTCTCCTCCTTTCCTTTCCAATTCGCTGAGCAGCTAATTCGGTCAATCCGTTCGTTGCGTTAAGTCGAGTTGCGTTACGTTAACTGCATTTAAGAGATTTCAACACCCGTCGCTGCCATCGCCGCCGAATGCAGCCAACTAACCTTCCTTCCATCCTTCCTTTTCGATGCGGATCGACCGAAGAATTTTCTTTCTTTTGGAAAAGAACGCATATTGCCAGCGACCGGCCGACCGACCGACAGACCATGCTGACTGACACACTTTCCGATTCGAATCTCTTTCTTGTTGTTCTTTATGTTTTTATTTGTATTCTCCGTGGAAGGTTAGTTCACGTTAACTCACGTTTGCATTCCTCCTCATTTTCAAACGGTACACAGTCGTCTCGCTTGCACCGATGCTGCAAGACGAAGAGGTCATCAGGAGCGCGAGCGAGCGCGCGCGTTTTCTTTGCATCCGGGCGATTTAGCGCGCGTCCCGTTACTACAGACTACAATTAAAATTAATCAAGAATAATGAAACAGAGATGAAATGAAACAAATTGATCTCGATCGACATTGAAGACAATCTTGACTTGACTTTGTTCGTTGAGAAGATGCCGTAACGATTTTATTCCGACGACGACAATTGAAATCTGCGTTGCGTTACGTAACTCATATACGTATATGATTTTATTGTTTCTTGTTTCTCTCGCTTGCTTTATTTATTTTTTGCGTAATCAAAATAACGATGGCTATGATCATGATGTTGATGATGAAACGAACGGAATTTTAATGGAAAAACTGCGAATAAATCGCGAACGAGCGAATGCGCGCTCGTTCGTTCGTTCGTTCGCTCGAGTTTCTCTCCGTTCTCCGGGGAAATCTCACTTTCTAATCGCGAGGGTTGATCGATGCTTCGCCGATCGATCGATCAAACATGCTGAAGGTTTTATTTACTCTCGATTCCTACCTGACAACCACCGTACGTGTGTCAGTCAGCCAGTCAGCCAGTGACAATGACAACCAGATTGACATTTACGTTCTCCACCACGACAATTATTCAATATCCAATTTGTTGTCTGCGAAAAAGAATGAAACAATGATATATATATACAATGATAACAAAATCGATTTCAAAATTTAATTTCAAATCATAAACAATTTAACACGCCGCCGACAGATGACAATGCTCAATTGTTTCCGTTACGCGTAATTTGAAAATTCGGTTGTTATTGTTTTGTTTGGAGCTATTGTCATGGTGCCATGGAAACAATTAATTGGCGAACGCAAGTGACGATCGTCGAATGGTGGTAATATTGATGTCCACTTTATTATTATTATTTTGTTTGTTCCTGCGCCAACTACTTCGTTTTCTTTTGGCGACTCCGAGTCGCAGCAAAGAGTGTGTGTGTGTGAGAGAGAGAGAGATATTATTGCAATAAACGACTTTTGGACAACTTTCGTTTCGAAAATCGTGCGATCGTCGTCGCCGTCGCGAAACGTGTATTATTTACAAATAACAACAACGATGATTACGAGCGAGGAAAAACGGCTCTAGATTAAAATGTCCGTTATTTAAATTTTGCAGGAGAGGATCGACGACAACGACAACGACGAGTCGCTCCAATGTCCGTCGACTGCTACACACTGCAAGAATTACATCAAGAATAATGCTGCTGAGGACTCGCATCTGCGCTGGATCATGTGTGTGCTTCCTCCTGATGACCGGTGAGCGATTCAATCATCATCATCACATAAAAAGATGATGAAATTAAAAAAAAAAATAAATCACATAAATCAACAGTCAATTGGAAACGTCAATGGTATTTTTGTTTGTTATTACTAAATTGGCAATAACAAAATATGATGCCGTCACTTTTGCTGCTGCTGCTGATGCTGTTGTTGCATTGACATCAATTAAAAATTGACATTTAACAAGAATTTAAATGCAATTATTGCAACTAGTTGGTGGTGACAAGGGAATATTTGAAGAGAAATCACAAATGTGAATGGGTGAGAGAGAGAGAGAGAATTGTCGTTTAAATATATCGAATGTGCGCAATCAATAAAAGGTTGACGCTATTAACACAGCATTCCAACAGAGTTTAATAAAGAAAGAAATATCTCAAGTTTCTATATAGATTGAGTTCGAGTGTGTGAGTGTGTGTGTGTATTTGTACGTACGAAAGGAGTAAATAGAAAACGAGTCCGCAGGCAAAGGGAGCGGGGAGAGAAAAAGAGGTGAGATCCGTATTTGGGTATCAAAGTAAAAGTGTATTTATTGAAAAAGGAAGGAAGGAAGGAAGGAAGGAAGAAAGGTTGTATGTATGAAAATAGATATGTATGATAAATACATTTCTATTTGCTTGCCGTAAACGCTTTTCACATGTAATTCCAATTCGATTTTAATAAACGAACACACAGGCACACACACACAGGTACAATAACTCTCTCCTCTTTACACGTTTGCCTCTCCTATTCACTATTCTCTGTGCGTGTTTGTTTATACACACACACACACTTGTATATGTTGTGTTTGAGTAGGCAATTATCGAGTGTGCTGTGTATGTATGTATATGATACTTGTCAATATTTGCTTAGAGATCTATCGACAGTCTCAACGATCATCATCATCATATCATCCCTGCTGCAATCCAAACAATGCACGCTCGCAAAAACAAAAGGGTGCTTTCGAAACAGAGAACCGTGGATGTCCTCGATCCATCATCTCCGATTGTTGCTACCTGCCATTCTTCGCAAGAGGAGGAGGAGGAGGAATGATGTACCGTTACGCAACGAATTGATGCGGTCGATCATCTTCTTCTGATGATGATGATGAACAGATGTTGTACGAATTCATTCCATCACCTACTTTTATTTTTACAAAGAAATACAACAATCTAATATGTTCCAAATGTTCCAACGAATTGCAATTTCTCATTAATTCATATTTCTATTTTATAATTTTTTTTTGTTAAAGTCGTATCTGCGAGTCCTTGGGCGAGTGCCGAGGAGGAGCGCCTGGACGAGTTGCGAGACGCCGAGATCTACGATGCGGTCGTCGTGTCGATGAACGAGTTCCATCGGCGGCAGACGCGTAACGGCCAGCATCGCAAAAGGTAAGGATGAGGATGTGATTTTGGAATATTTGTTTCATTGTTTGTTTGTTTGTTTGCAGGGTGCGAAGGGAAGATCCGAGCGTGTGCTACGATGATGTGGGATGTTTCGCGGCGTCCGGTCCCTTCAGTTATCTGGACACGTTGCCCAGCAGTCCGGTGGAGGTGAACACGAGGTTCCTGCTGTATCCGGCGCAGAGCAAACGGCGGAGCGGAAATCCGCCGGGCGAGGTGCCCTTCCACAATCTGACGGACGCCTTCGTCTGGGCCAAGCAGGGCTTCAACAATTCCCTAACGACGAAGGTGATGATCCACGGTTTCGGCAGCGATTGCACCCACATCTGGGTGTACGAGATGCGAAGCGCCCTCATGGCAGTCGTAAGTTCATCGTCCATCCATTTGTCATCGTTGCTATTATTGTTATTATCATCATTGTTATCGTTTGCAGGAGGAGGCGAACGTGATATGCGTGGATTGGGGCAACGGAGCCCTCCTTCCAAACTACGTGAAGGCGACGGCGAACACGAGATTGGTCGGTAAGCAGCTGGCGATGCTGCTACGAGGTCTTGTCGAACAGGTCGGCTTCTCGCTGAGGAAGATGCACCTGATCGGGTTCAGTCTGGGTGCGCACGTGGCTGGTTTCGCGGGCGCCGAACTGGGCAATCTCAGCAGGATCACCGGCCTGGATCCGGCGGGACCGCTCTTCGAGTCGCAGGATCCGAGGGCTCGTCTCGATCAGACGGACGCCGATTTCGTGGACGTCATCCACAGCAACGGCGAGAATTTGATCCTCGGCGGACTCGGTTCGTGGCAGCCGATGGGTCACGTCGACTTTTACCCGAACGGCGGTCGCATGCAGAAGGGCTGCACGAACATCTTTGTCGGTGCCGTCAGCGACATTATCTGGTGTAAGTAATAGTAATAGCATATGCAAATGATATAATTTGATTTGATTTGATGTGCGCGCATTCACAGCTTCGGCAGTCGAGGGTCGTTCCCTGTGCAATCATAGGAGGGCCTACAAGTTCTTCACCGATTCCGTTTCGCCTCGTTGCCATTTTCCTGCGTTTCCCTGCAGCAGCTACGAGGATTTCATCGCCGGCAAGTGCTTTCCCTGCACCGAGGACAGGTATGCATGCATGCACGAGTGCAACTTGTGTAACATATCATATGTAAGAAGTATTGAATTTACTTATTTCTTTTCTTTTTTTCTTATATAAAGCAAATGCGGTAACATGGGTTACTATTCGGATCGGTCCAAGGGCAGAGGTCAACTCTACCTGATCACCAGAGACGAGGAACCATTTTGCGGTAACGATTTAAACATTTCTTCTTATTGATCATCCATTTAAAATGCATGTTTGAATGCAGCGCATCAATACCACATCAAAATCGAGAGTTCACCGAGCGACGTGCCGATCGTCAGTTACGGTAAGATCGAGGTGACGCTGATCGGCAACGAACTGCTCAACGAGACATTCACGCTGACGAGGAAGGAGGACGACGAGATGAAACTGGGTTCGTCCGTCTCGAGGATAATTGTGCCGCATCCGATCCTGCTGGAACCGGGCAAGATACAGGTGCAGTACAACGCGTACAGCGGTTGGCTTACCTCGGGATTGACGCAGTGGCGCATCGACAAGATCACGCTGAGCGACAGCTTCGGACGCAGCTCGTCGGTGTGCAAGAAGAACCTGGTGCTAGAGTCCGGGGTGCCGGTGACGCTGCCTCTGTATCCCGGTGAGTGCAACCTGCCGAAGGAAGGGAAAGCCGATAATCGGACAGCAGCAAATGACGAGGCGTACAGGACGGACGAGAGGACGAAGAACGTGACGGAGAAGAATCCGCTGCGCGATGCCTTCGACATATTTAGCATCCCTTGGAACGCGGATGACAACAACAACAATATTGACAGCGCGGAAACGGAGCAGAGCAGGGCGTTCAACACGAGGATCGTGAAGATGACGCGCTCGAATGCGACGTCGTCGTCGTCGTCATCTTCGGGTGGAGCGGAACGGGAGATAGTCGAGCCGGTGCTCAGGCCGCACGCGATGAAGATCGGCAGGTCGCACGATCTATCGAAACCGGAAATCACGGAGCCCATCCTCGGACCAACAACGGCCAGGATATCGACGACGACGAGGAAATCGTCATCGATCAACGGTAATCGTGAGCTTTTTTACAATTTCTACGATGTCGGCAACGAGAGCGATTGGATTCCGGCGCCGAATCCAACCGCGCAGACAGCCGACCAAAAGTGGAAGAGGCAGGACGACGGAAGATCGCCGCCACCGGAGGTGGTGATCGTTGCAGGTGGTGGAAGCAGCAGTGGCACCGGCACCACAGAGGATGCACTGAAAGTCATCGTGAGGACGGTGCAGATTCTGCCGCAGCGATTGGCGCGCGTCTTCGAAGAGGCCGAAAAGTACGCGAGGGAAACGATCCTGCCCTTTGTGAGCACTTACACTCCCAAATTTATAACAGATTTCATCACACCCAAGGAACCGCCGACTCCCAAATATCTACCCCTCAAGTACAACGAGGCCGAGCCGCACGATAAGAGACTGCTGCTCTCGACGTCCACCGAATCGACGACGATGTCGTCGTCGCCGTCGTCCACGATTGCCTCGAATGCATTTGAGTCGACAACCAGGTACAGCAACATCCAGAAGATCGGCAAGAGATCCGATAATATTGGGAAGGTGAGCGTGGTGTACGCGCAAACCCCCGCGACTGTTGCGGAAGTTGCGGCGCGAAAGTTGGTGGATTCGTCTGAGGTGAAGAAGGTGAAGACGAAAGGTGGAATCTACGTCGATTTGCCCGTATTCGATGACAACTACAAGGACATCAAGTACATACCATTGGTGCGGGAAAACAGTGCCAAACAGATTAGTTGAATATTTTAAATTATTAAACACGCACCCCCCTCTCACCCTTCCGACTTACTTTGACCTGTAAATATTATTATTACTATTAATATTATTACTTTTGTTATTATCTATATTATTATTATTGTATATGTGTGATGACAGTGTGTGCGTGTGTGTGTGTGTATCGAATCTAAGTCTAATTTTAGTTTTGAAGTTATATATTTATATATATGTATATTGTATAATTTTTACTATAGAAAAAAAAAGTGTAATAAAATTGAAATGAGAAGAAAGAAAGCGAGAGAGTTAAAATAGATATATAGATAGATAGAAATATGTATATATATATATATCATATATGTATATCATCCGTGATACTTTTCCAAGGGGGCGACACTGCACGAGTCCAAGAAACGTTCGAGTTCCTCCAGCCGTCTCACCTCGCGCTGGATGTGCTTCAGGTGACCCCAGCGCATCTGCTTCAGCTGCTTCACGAAAGTCGGCTCATCTATAAATGCATATTGCATTAAAAAACGTATATGCAAGAAAAGTTAATCGTTAATTATGATTTTTACCTAGTTGCGATTTGCACGAACATTGCGATCCCTTATTTTCGACGGCCGATGCTGATGATGACGATACCGCTGCCGCCACTGCCGTCGCTGCTGATGTGGTGGTACTTGCGGACGTAGAATTGCCGGGGGCGGCGAAAGAATCGGTCAGCGCTTGTGCAATCTCCAGGCAGAGATCCTTGTCCATGCGACCGCTCGACTGCTTCTTCAGCATCTCCACGGCATTCCTCGGATCCATCTGCAACGATCGACAATAATTAACGCTGCTGCTGTTGCTTCTTCTACCGTTGTTGTTGTTACTGTTTTTAACTTTACATTTTTATTGGGATTCTTTTCGGAAATGTTCGTGCCGAAATGGCTGCTCAGCGCCGTATCGATAAGGTTCACCACGTAACTCTTCGTGCGATGAAGTTCGAGGACGTCTTCGTTGGCCATCATCATCATCGCGGCGGCGTTTCGTCTATTCTTCGCATCGCCCATCTCCTTCAGTGCTATCGGTTTGATGGCGGCAGCCGTCGTCGTTCGTCTGCTTCCTCCGTCCTCGCTTTCGGACGTGTAGCATTTGCTGATGCTCTCCTTGATCTCCTGATAGTTGAAGCTCTTCGGAGCATCCTTTTCGGGCATCAATTCGGTCTGCGAGATTTTGTTGCGCACCATCGAAGTGACCGAGCCGATCCGCCTGCCCTTCGTCGTCTGATGCTGACTCTGATGCTGTCTGACTCGACGTTTGTCGTCGTCGTTGATAACGTCGTTCAGACCGTTCTCGGTAAGCTCGGAGAGAAGTTCGTCGAGCACGTCCGACGATATCTCCTCCACCTCGAACGTTTCGGCCGTCTTCATGATTTCGGGGATCTGTTGCCTGGTGATGCTTTGTACTGATTCGCTCGATCGTCTGATCGACTTCTCCTTGAGGCTGGGCGGCAGCCGAGGTTTCAGATGCTTCAGTAATTGCTGATCGGCAGCATTCGCATCCTCCGTTCTGCCGCTGCCGTCATTTGCGTTATTGTTGTTGTTCTTGCCAAAGATCTTTTCGTAGCGTTCGAGGATCGCGTCCAGACGGGACTTGGTCATATCGATCGACTTTTTCGACTCGGATTTTTTCGCAGCCTTCGCCGTAAAAGGAGGAGACTGCGACGGCGGATGAGGTGCCGTCGTCGTCGACACCGACGTCGGTAAACTGTGCCTCCTGACGATCTTCTGCGCTTCCAGTTGCTGCAGTTGCGGCTGCTGTTGCGGTTGATGCGTGTAAACTGTATGTTTGTATCTTCTATACGAGGCTGGATCCGGTTGGCATGCCAAAGGTAAGCAAAGGGCGGAAGGTCTTTTGTATACGGCTGCTATCGGTCTCCTCACGTATCTGCAATTCACACACGTAGCTCATTAAAAAATATTACTAATTTACGTAATTAACACACACACACACAGAGGATACAACAATCGGTGGTGAGTGCTTCAATTCGAACCTCTTGCAGCGTCGATGAAAGAATTAATTAAAAACGGAACTCTCGCTAATTGCTGCTGCGAAATGTACATTTGTACGTGTACGTGCGCGTATATTGAAGAATGCAACGCCACCTGAATTATTCATTTGATTTGAATGTTTTTTTTTGTTATTTTTTGTTTTTCATTTTTCTCGTTTCCCACGCCGAAATGTCAGAGCAGCCGTCGAGAACTTGCGGGAAATGTCCGTACGGCGGACGGTACGAGCGCGTTGCAGAGGAGAAGGGCGACTTTCTGCAGAAGAACACGATGCCGTCGCCGGATCTGATACACAAGGAGACGACGAAACTGAGGGATCCGAAGCTGGGTGTGCCCGCAACAGGTCTATCGCCAGATCTGCAAGCTGAACCCAACAAGCAGCAGCTCACACAAAAGCATCCGATACAGGATGCAGAGAAGCCGGATCCGATCGCCGAGGATCGGAAAGGATCGACGACGTACGGAAGTAATAACAAGGTGGGCTGCTGCTGCAAGAAGGGACACGCTAGAATGCTGGAGGAGGAATGCCGCGAAACGACGTACTCTCTGCCTAAAGGTGGTGATCCGCGATTGAACATTCTGCAGCCGCACGAACGACGCAACATTGCCTCGAACGAAACATCACCGCCAGTCGTCTCCAATGCCGTCGCCGCCGCCAACAACCAGCAGCAGCAGCAATTAAAGGGCATTCTAAAAAAGACGGCACCCGCAACGTGCCCATGCGAAAGAAATAGTAGCAGAGCGGACGAGCAAATGAAAGAGACGCCGACGACGATGCCCGATAGTCGTGAACTGCAGCAAGCTCGAGAACGGCTGGGTGTGACGAAAGTTGGTAGTGGTGATGGTGACGAACCAGAGATTCTTAGCAGAGAGTGCTACCTGCCGAAACCGGAGGATGAGCTGCCGAGGGAGAGGGACAACGAGATGGGACCGTTGGGGCCGTGGGCGACGGGACGTGTAGATTGGGGTCCTCTGAAGGGTCTGACGGGCACGAGACCCGTCGTCGACAAGTACTCGGTGGCACGTTTCAGCGAAGGCGAATGGCGTTCGCACAACAAGCAGGTGCTCGACAGCGTCGTCGGCTTTCAGCATCAGGCCAATCTGCTCGAGTACAACTCGAAGGAGGGCATCGAGCAGACGAGAGCGGCGACCGACAGGAATCAGGCGGACAGTACGAGACGTCTGAAGCAGAGGGAACAGGAGCTGCACAGGTGGAAGTGCGAGCTGGAGCGTGCGATAAGCGCCTCCGCCGAGGAGATAGCGATGATGCAGGAGCAGCGACGACGGCTGAAGCAGTCGATGGCCGTGCTGCAGTTGCCCGAATCGATTGCAGGAGAGTGTCTGGACAGGAGGACCGGTCGATTGGATCCGGAGCTGGTGAGGGATGAGGTCGAGGAGGAGCTGATCAAGGAGATGGCGTTGACGGCCGAGATAAGGGAACAGTTCACTCGCACCCTGATGGACGTGGAGCATCAGCTGCTCGAGGATAAGACTGCGAAAAATCGTCTCGAGTACGACTGGAGCGACAAGAAGCAGGCCAACGAAATCGAGTGCGTCAACGTTGCCCTCAATAACAGTTCGAACACGCTGCTGTTCAGACCCGGCGCCGTCGGCTTTCCCGACAACCAGTCGACTCAGGACCACTGGGAGACGTTCACTCGTGAGACGCTCGAGGAGTCTGAGATAACGCGACAGAGATCTGTTGCGTTGCGCGGCACACTGGACGCGATCCTCTCCGATGCGGCAAAGAATCTGCGCGCTCAGGCCGATCGGCTGGACATGGCACTTGCGAAGAGGATCTCTTGTACAGAGGAGATACGCACTCGACTCGAGAACGAGCTTCGCGGAATGCTCAAGAGATTGGCCGACATCGAGAGCACCATCTGCAATCTGAAAGATATGATACGTCGCATGGACATATCGATGAAGAAGGCCCAGACTCGACTGGACAACAGGCAGCTTCATCGGCCTCGGGTAGAGAACTGCAGGGATGTGGCGCAGTACGGTCTCGTCGACGAGGTGAAAAGCATCATGGACAGCGTGTCCGCACTCTCATCCCAGCTTCAGCAGGCCGAGGAGATTCAGAGCAATCTGATGATGTCGCGCAGCAACATCGAGCGCGAGATCATGGTGAAGAGGAAAACGTTGGAGATCGATCGAGACCGTTCGAAGAAGATCCGCTCGTTCTATCCCTCCGCAACGGCACTCTCCGGTTACTGAACAAAACAACAAATGCTCACCCGTCGACGGCAAAGTTTTATCCGCTTTCTCTCTTTTAATCCCCTTTTTCGTTGCTTTTCTATAACGCTGATCCGAGAGGGGGCTTATTATAAATCACAAGTTTAAATAAATAAATAAATATACCAACTGAAACAGAAACGCGCTTTGTTTTCCAACGTGATTGCTCCATTGAATCCATATTTCCATATAGACGCACAAGAACATACTCATTAACACGACAAAATATCCTTCCAAATGGATGTAAAACGGTTGCATTTAAAGCCGAACAATGAGCACGATGGTAATTATCCTCATTACTATTCAATTGGAGGTGTATCATCATCATTATCATCATCGTCATTATACATTCGCATATATGTTCGAGTTACAGCAACAGAAGTTTGTAATGAACAATTTTATAATATCTTCCAAAGACAACGACGACCATTATGAGTCGCAGGGCAAAGTTTGAACTGCTGTATCGACAGTGTCGAGCGGTGCGAGCCGTTCCCGCCTACGATTTCCAACATCTCCGTGGTGCAACATCGTCCTGCACCTGGTGGTGCAGATCGCTGCTTATAATTGCCGCTCTCTGTTTGCTCATTTTTTACCATGCATTGTCCTCATCCGCATCCACCAACAGTCCACCTTCGTACGTAAAACTGCATTTAATGCAGCTCGTGTCCGGCGCGTTGTACTTTATTCCCTTTTATTTTCATCACATCATCAACGTCGTAACCTCACACAAAAACAGAAAGAGATGGTGGTCCCTGTTGACCGTCGTCTGTAGATTGGACGCATATCTTCAACCTAAAGACGATGCCTCCTCCTACTCCCCCATCTTCGAATTTCTTTTAGGCCACTTGATCTGGGCTTACTACGCTTTCGGAACGCTCGGCTTCAGATCGATGACTCCCAAGGGCATTGGGTTTGTGGACGCACTAAACTGCATCAGCACCTACCTCGTATTCCAGCGATCGCTTCTCATCTACAATCTTATCGCAATGATCGGTGATTGCGTCGAGGCTCTCAACAGGATGATCGTCGCAGATTTCAATTCGAAGAGGAAACTTCGAACGGCCGCAAAGATCCGTTTAACGTTGAGTTCTACGGTCCACAGATTCAACGATCTCTTCGCCCTCGATCTGCTGCTCCTCTTCATCGAGATGTTTGCTGCACTCTTATTTTTCCTCAACCTCATCGTCATGCCAGATCGTGTATTGAGCTACTTTGACTTTTGGCTGTACTCGGTTCGCATCGTTCACGGCCTCTTCTTAATCGTAACTAACTATATTATATCATCATATCTTGAAGATGGTCGTGATAACAACGGAATTTGTTGCAGGTTTGCGTTTGCAAGATAACCAGGGGAAACGAGCGTATAATATCCCAGGGTCTGCAGACGAGAAGTACGGCTTTGTCGATCCTAAGGAAAACAACGTTGAACGAAAATTTAACGACAAAAACCGAACTGCTTTTCCTCTCGACGATCTCCAAGAAACCGTTGCATTTCACCTGCAGATTCTTCAACATCACCTCCGAAGCTGTACTCGTCACCTGCGGATTATTGGTCTCCTATTTAATAATCGTTCTCACGGTGCAGTGAACTGAAGTGGCGAAGACATGAATCGTATTTACTCGACGAGATCAATGCATCAATATATTTCGTAAATCTTCAATTTTTCATTCGTCGCGCCCTTCACTTCGCCAGACGCAAAAGAAAAGCGAATATATATTTATAAAAGGGTGCTCCGTTTTCTTTTTTGTTGCATTGTTGCGCTCCATCCCAAAGGGCAGACTTTAATATTGCCGAGCACCACCAGTACGTGCCTAAACAAATCCGAGAAAGAAAATCTATCCTTCCTTCATTTGAAGAGAGAATAATGTTTGAAGAGACGTGATGTTCGATTTCTTCTTTGAGACGCGCGGGTAGGCGAACCGTGTTTCGGCTGCGATTAATTTTGATGGAGCGCACAATTTGGGCCATCCTCGTCATCGTCTTCCGACGTTACTCGCACAGTAATAGAAGCGGTAGAAGCGGAAAGAAGAAAGGAAGGAAGGAAGGAAGCCGGATTTATTCAAATTTTATACGTCCCACGGGTGGCATACAATAGATATTAATGGAGAGTTATGTTAAACGCCAAGTTTAAGCTGAATAATAGCAGTAGTGCACGTGGAGTTAATTGAAGCGATCCGCTCCGCTCCGCTCTCGTTTGAAACCACCTCTACACAATGCAATTGAAGATGAAACGATAAATTGCAATTAACCACGCAAAGTTGAATTGAATTGTAGATAGCGCAGACATTTGGCAAATAAGATGAACATCCACATTGCAATGCAAATCTATTCGCTTCGAGTGCGATGCTGCAATAACTTAAGCAAAAAAACGTTACCTCGGGGTCCTCACGGTGACTGGATGCCTGCGCATCATCTGTGGCGGCGGCTGCTGCTGTCCCTGATGCATCTGCTGTTGCTGCTGCAACTGCTGTTGTCTATGGATGGCGGCGGCTGTGGCCGCAGACGGAGCCCTCTGGAGTGGAAGGACAGGGCTCCTGGGGACGGTGGCGACGTGAGGCAAGCTCTGATGATGATGATACTGCTCCTCGGTGTAGTACCCTCGGGTGGCCTGGGGTTGAGTCTGCGCCGGAACCACAATCCTCTTCCTGTACATCTGCTGCGGTACCATCGTTCCAGCAGGTGCAACCGAGGAAGGAAGAGCCGGAGGAAGAGGAGGCTGAATTGTTCTCGTCGCCCCATGCTGCTGCTGCTGCTGCTGTTCGTAATAGTATCTGCGAAAATGAGCGTAATTAATGAACGTAACGTGTGTATAAATAGGAATTACTGCGTCCTAATAAATTTATCCTGGCATCGCTGGATAAAGGTGGAGGAGACGGGCGCAACCCAAGTGGAAGCTTTTCATTATGTGAGACGAAAGAAAAATGGTTTCAAGCAGAGAGAGAGAGAGAGAGAGAAAGTATCGTCGTACACGTTGACAACGTACGGTCGCATCAAAAGGGGAATTTAATCATCCCCCTCCAACCTGACCTACATCAAACAAAAGACGACGAGGGTTGGGGAGGCGAGGATGCCTCCACTTGCAGTCAGTCAGTTACTTTTGTACGATTTCACGCATTCAAATACTAACTAATTAGGTATATTTTTTGTAATGATGCTCACTCCGGTCTAATGAAGACGCCGCCACCCTGATGATAGACCTCTGAGTTTTTACGTCTATACAGCTCTGTAAAGTCGGCTGTTGCTGCTGCTGTTGCCTGCGGTGATGGTTGAGCTGCTCCTACGTGCTGCTGCTGCTGATGTGGCTGCATCTGATGAGGAGGAGGTGGAGGAGAATCTGAGAGGCCGTCGCTCTCGGAGTAGTCACCCACGTATCCTTCACCATCATCGTAGTAATATTGCTGCTGCTGCTGATGGTGCTGCTGCTGCTGTTGATGTTGTTGTTGAGAGACGCCGTATGTGAATTGCTGTCGTGGTTGTTGAGGCGGTCGAGAAGACATCTCTGTAAACAAACAAACAAACAAATGAACGAGGGATGCAAAAGAAAACGTTGAAAAATTGATTGTAGAATGTTAGATGTGCGATACATACTTTATCGCCGATCGTGTATTGAACATTTATAAATTTGATGCAGTCATCTGAGTGATCCGTCGAGACGATCTTCTCGTTGGACGGAAGAAACGCTTCGTGGTAGAAGACGCGACGACAATCACGACCGGTCAAACGTCAGAACTCGTGCGGGAGAGACAGACGCACGCCTCACCGCTGACATATATTACATTTGCAGTCTTCATTTATTTTCTAAATCCACAGTCAACTTGTTACTTTTGATCATCATCACCAAAACCACAAACCTACAACCCTCCACCCCTACATCCGATACAGAAATCATAATAATTAAATTGTTTAATTTGAAAATTGTTTTATTAATACGAATTTCCATTTTTCATTATTTAAATTTAAAATTTAATTGTATTATGGAGAAGGTGCTGGTACTGAGCCGCGATTGGCAGAGAGAGAAAGAGGGAGGTGCGCGAAAATCTCTGTTGCTACATTCAGTCCGGTGTTGTGCAGCGTACGGTGTGCGTCAAATCGGTTTTGTTCAGTGAGATTAATTAATTTGGGGTTAATTAACCGGTGAGTCTTTTGCTAATAGCTTTCCCTAATCGACTTATATCGTTTATTTCGTGATTTCTCATTATTTTAACGCTGATAATTCGAATTTAATATCGACCGATGTGCATCTACAATTGTAACTATTTTTTTAATTTTCGTAATAATATCATATTTCAGTCGTATTCGAATCTATTTTGTTTTTATTGTTGTTAATTTTCCAACGCCACCGTTCGATTTGTTGTTGATTGCGCAGGTGGTGGGTGGAGGGGAGGTGATCGATCGTTTGAGTCGCGAGTGCGCGTCGCTAACTTCAGTCCTATATTCGACAGCGCACACTGCGCATCGCTTTAATCGCGCCTCTTGCTAATCTTACTTGCATCGCGTAAGTGTTTCTTCTCGCGCGTCGCTACAATGAAATTAACAATTCAAATTGGATTCATTAATTGTGCTAATTGGAAGTCAACAGGATAATTACAGGTGAATTTTTACACTTATTCCAATTTGATTTCGGGGGCAATTAATATGATTTTTTTTCATAAATAATTGCATTGAATTTCCATAATATTTGTTCGCGAATCAAGTGCGTAGATTGTTGATTTGGAATTAGATAAATTCGGGTTAAAATTAATTTCTTTGCGATTGCACAATATGGCGTAGGGACGCGTTCTCCCCCCACCACCACTTTATATTGTTCGCGCCAAATAAACATCTGGTAGCAACAATGCTATTCTTATCGCAAAAAAAAAACAATGCGAGTGGGTACGAGGCTTTCTTTTGAGACGCTTAGTAGTTGTTCGCTGCGTTTGTATCCGCTCCGGTATTAAAAGCTTTACAAATTCAAAATTGTTGTGCAACTCGTGAATCGGGTTGTGTTTTTGGCGAAATTCTTCGGCGAAGATCACGATCCAATTGGATTTTGTGGGGGGCGATCAACCGTGAGTAATTAATTTGATTTTTTTTATGAAAACAAATCGTTTTGCATTGAATGTTTCGTGATTTGTTCGCGAATCAAGTGCGTAGATTGTATGGAGATGTGCGTTTTCCTATTTTGATTTGGAATTAGAGAAATTCGGGTTAAAATTAATTTCTTTGCGATTGCACAATATGGCGTGGGGACGCGTTCCCCCACCACCACCACTTTCTATTGTTCGCGCCAAATAAACATCTGGTAGCAACAATGCTTTTCTTATCGCAAAAAAAAAAACTGCTTGCCTGGAACGGGTTGGTACGATGATCGCGGCGTCCCCACGCCACAGTTGTGCGCGTCCCTTTCTTAAGTTAACATCGCTCTGATTGCAAATGCGCGATAATTATTCAAAATTAATAGATTCTTATTAGATTTGAGTGGATATCAACATTACACGATAAACCGTGAGTAATTCAACACTTTATTTTCAAATTTCGGGGAAAACGCGAGCCCCTAGATCCGCTGTGATCTGTCGGTGATTGCTCGCATATTTCGGATACGAGCAACGACCTTAACGGATGCACCTCGAGAAGGTTTTAGCACAGGCGGCCTTGCAATTCCATGCGAATCAAGAAATTAGGTCTTGCCATTCCATGCGAATCACTGCGAACGTGATTAACGCATAGAATGACCTGGTATTTTCAATACCTTGCATCCATATTATAG